CAATGGAATATTATTCAGCCATAAAAAAGAGGAAATCCTGCCATTTGCAACAACATGGGTGGACCTTGAGGACATTATGCTAAATGAAATAAGTCAGAGAAAGACAAATAATATATGATCTCACTTATATGTGGAATCTTAAAAAAAAAAAAACAACTCATAAAAAGAGCTCAGATTTGTAACTACCAGAGGCAGGGGGTGGGAGGAGAGGGATTTGGAGAAAGGTGGTCAAAAGGTACAAACTTCTAGTTATAAGATAAATAAGTACCAGGGGTGTAATGTACAACATGATAACTATAGCTAACACTGCCGTATGATACATAGAAAAGTTAAGAGAATAAATCCTGAGAGTCCTCATCACAGGGAGAAAAATGCTGGGTTTTCTTTTTTTTCTTTTGTATCTACATGAGATCATAGACGTTAACCAATCTTACTGTGGTAATCATTTCACAGTCATGTGCCACACAACAGCGTTTCGGTCAATAATGGATCACATATGCTACGGTGGTCCCATGAGATTAGTAAAATGTAGTCTAGATGTGTTATAGGCTATACCATCTAAGTCTATGTAAGTACACTCACTGTATGATGTTCACACAACGATGAAATTGCCTGATGCATTTCTCAAAACGTATCACTGTCGTTAAGTGAGGTATGACCCTATGTGTAGGTCAAATCATTGTGCTGTACACCTTAAACTTACACAGTGATGTATGTCGATTGTATCTCAGTAAAACTGGGAAATTTTTTTTAAAGTTAACTCAAACCAGTGTTATAACAAAATCCCGTTCCCAGGGGTACGTGAATTTGGGAATCAGATCCCATCTTAAATTATCAATAGCTCATGGTTAGCACCTGTGACTTCTTTATGGTTGGTGCACCCAGGCCAGAGGTGAGAGGCCTTGTCAGCTCTAAATAGTAGCAACAAACCCACATGGTGGCAGTCAGACGTTGGGGACCCGTCTTTTGTACTTGTCCACTATTCAGTTCTTTCTGCAACCTCAGCACCCTCACATACTAATACAGTTGTTACAATGATAGTCATGCTTACAGACAGGCATATCTCAGAGAGATTGCAGATTCGGTTCCCGACCACCACAGTAAAGCAAATATCACAATAAAGTGAGTCACATGAATTTTTCAGTTTCCTTGTGCATATAAAAGACATATTTACACTACACTGTAGTCTCTTAAGTGTGCAATAGCGTTATGTCTAAAAAACAATGTACATGCCTTAATTTAAAAGCACTCTTTTGCTAGAAAATGCTAACCATCATCTAAGGCTTCAGTGAGTCATAATCTTTTTGCTGATGGAGTCTTATTTATAAAAAACAATATCTGATGGGGCCGGTCCAGTGGCGCAGCGGTTAAGTTCACACGTTCTGCTTCGGTGGCCCGGGGTTTCCCACCTCGGATCCCAAGTGTGGACCTACGCACCACTTGTCAAGCCATGCTGTGGCAGGCATCCCACATAAAGTAGAGGAAGATGGGCATGGATATTAGCTCAGGGCCAGTCTTCCTCAGCAAAAAGAGGAGGATTGGTGGCAGATGTTAGCTCAGAGCTAATCTTCCTCGGAAAAAAAAAAACCAACATCTGCAAAGTACAATAAAGCGAAGCACAATAAAATGAAGTATGCCTGTATATGATTTACATGTTGGTCTCTCCCATGATTACATGTTAGTATATATTCATGTATACACAGATACATACATATATGTACATATATACACACACACACACGTATGATTATATTATGGTTTTATATATATATATGTGATTTGCCTGCTGGACTCTCCCAGGTAACTGAAGACAGGGCCTTATATCACACAGTGTATTTTAACTGAGAGTACACGTCAGCATCACGCAGCCCTGTGGGGCTGATGCAGCACCTGTGGGGTCGGCCCAGCAGCGGTGCTTTGAGAGCGCATCCCAGGTGGCTTAGAACTGCACGCCTGATGGAGAGGCAAGCGGGGAGAGGCAGGACAGCTTAGGGGTGAAGACAGTGAGCTCGGGGTTAGGATCCTGGCTCCACCACTTCCTATTTGTGTAAGCCTGAGCAGGGCGCTTCAACCTGTCTGCGCCTTGCATGTAAAATGGAGATAATAATAGTGCTTGCCTGGGAATGCCGTTGTGAAGATTAAACAAGATAAAACAAGGCGGTGCTGGAAACAGGCTAAGCCCACCCCAAATTCTCGGGACACACAGCTGTGTTGGTATTGCTCACCCTTGCGTTCCAGAGCAGGCACCACACCTGACATTAACAGAGATTTAATGTTCAATAAATAATAAATGCACTGGGGCATATTAGCAAAGAGAAGCAGAAACGGAAAAAAATAAGGCAAGGGAAGGAGGAGAGAAGGATGACCGAGAAGATGGGAAATACATAGGCATGATGGAGGGTCTCCAGCAGTTGGCTCAGGAAACCCTGAAAATCCTTCCTCGTGGTCGCCGCATCATTCATTCTGCCAGTGGAATGTTGGTGAGGTCTTGAACTGAAATTCTCAAACATGTAGTTTCGAGAATCTTATCTTGGTAGCCTTCTGCAGTGGTCCCAAATGAAGCCAGCCGACATGGCCCAACTCCTGTTTCCAAAGGAGATGATCTTTCTGCCCCCAGCTGTGCTTTGCTCTGGATATGGTGACTCTGATTTGGGATCAAGAGCCCCAATAATTCTGACAGCATTAAATTTTGGACCTGTTAAAAAAAAAAAATCCCACCACTCTCCCTTTGCCTTCTTGACTGTTCTTCCCAGTTGCTGCAAGTTTGAGGATATGAATCTTCCACTGGAAGTTAGGTTTCCTTATAATCCCAAGAACTCGCCACCTTTGTTCCTGTCTCCATGCTCTGGTGCTTCCTCTTTTCTAAATGTTCTATCCCCTTCTCTCTGGGATGACTCCATAGCAACAGCAGTAGTTTGGGGAATCCAGTAGTCCAGGGTTCAAATCCAGCCTCTGCCACTTGTCTAACTGTGTGACCCCCTCTGACTCAATTGCCCATATCTAAAGTAATTTCTACCTCTGTTGTGAGAATTAAACTGGGATCAGGTTTGTAAAGTACCGAGCACAGTACCTGTCAAAGCCTCAGGGACTCGTTTCAGTTTAGATGCATTTCAAATGCTAAGTAACAGAGATTAGAAATAACAAGAGTCTAAACAAGAGATCGGCTTATTATTTTTTATGACCTAAAAGGAGTCTAGAGGTAAGAAATTCGTGGCTGGTAGGGATGCCCAAAGAAGACACCTAGAGCAACAGGGATCTAGACTCTTTTTCTCTGGATAAGCCATCCTCCTTGAGGTTTCCATCCTCAAAGTCACCCCATATTCACAAGGTGAACGCTGGAGCTCCAGTAATCACATCCACATTCCACTGAGAAAAAGGAGGAAAGTGGGACGAACAAAAGGGTGCGTACTTCTTAGCTGAGTCAGCTTCCTTCAGGGTTCCCGGAAAACCCAGCCAACAACCACCACTTACATTGTGTTAGCCACCCCTGGCTCCAAAAGCAGCTGTGAAACGTAGTTCTTTACCTGGCTACGATGCTGCTCCTCAGAATACAGGTGTCTGTGGTATTAGAATTATCCCTCATCTTCCCACAAAGCTGCAACATGGAGCCCTCATGGGCTGTGGCCATGCTGTACAGTCTCTTCCTCATTTGACACATCTCAGGGCACTCAATGCATATATAGCACAGGAAGCAATAAACCTGGTTAAGTGTCTAAGTGGCTAACTGGTTGAAGTCTAAAAACCGAAGTTCCAGACCAATCCTACCACTTCATTGCTGTGTGACCTTGAGCAAGTATCTAACCTCTCTGGTTCAGGATGAGTTTCGTCATTTATCAAGAGGTCTTTGTGAGCATCAAATCAGATAATAGATGCAAATTGCTTAACACAATGCCTGTATATACTAGCCCTCAGCACATGTCAATGTTACTATTACCATCCTCATCATTATTGTCATTAAGTGCTAATGAGTTATTAGGGTATGGTGAGGAAATAACAGACATCTCTCATACCTCTTCCTTCTGCCTGTCTACATCTTCCCTCGCCTTCAGCGCTCACCCCAGGGACATCTGGATTTGCATCAGTTATGTTGAAAGAGCCTGGGCTGAGCTGGCCTCATTTTATTCGCTTCCGGCCATCCACTCAATGACTCTCTGAATCTTGAGAGTCCTTCTCCTGTGCCCCTAACCAGAGTCTAGTCCCCCAGCTCTGCCTTCTGGGACAGGCTCTCTTCTCTCATCAGATCAACGTCTAAATAAATATTAAATTATGTCTGGTTCCGCTATTCCTTTCAACTCTAAGTACATCAGTTCTTCCCTTTGTCGGAATTCCCCAGCCCTACCGAGGTCTCCCCAGTGATGTCTTGCATCCTTGACGGTGGCAAGATTTCTCTCTAGATGGAAGTAAAGAATCCACATAGGAGTGAGCCTTATAGGCCCAGATCTCTGTAAAATATGGATTTCTAGGACTTCCTCCCCACCCCCCTAGGGACCTTTCACTTGAGGCTTCAGAAGAAATCTTGGCACCTGCTCTTAAAGATCATTAGCTACTCAGCCGATGATGTGACATAAAAGGCTTATAATGTGCAAACATACAAAGTCTCTTGCCCCCCAGGGTGGCCAGGCAGGGCTGTCAGAACCCCAGGGTCCAGGGATGGCTATGTAATCTGTGCACTGCACAGTGTTCTACAATATGATGACACCCCTTGTCATTGTGCAGTGCACAGCCTACATAACCGTTCATGGCAGCCATGCCCAGATCAGTCATCTCTGACCATAAGCAGCCTCATTTCTGTATTCTAGTGCACCCTACAAATATTGCCATTTTCTATGTGTACCATTGGTGTAAAGGAGTTTAGAAAGCACCACTCTGAATAACTTCAGGGTTATTTCTTCTTCCAACACATACTTGTGCCCTGGCCATGCTAGCCATGTCCTCCGTAGGAACCTGAGCTAACACGTCCAGGTGCCATCTTTCACACCAGACCCGTTGTGTTTTCCTAGGTGCATGGTAGAAATCTTTTGTCCATTGACTACGACCGGAATATTCGGACGGAAAAGATCTATGATGATCACCGGAAGTTCACTCTGAGGATCATTTACGACCAGGTGGGCCGCCCCTTCCTGTGGCTCCCCAGCAGTGGGTTGGCAGCCGTCAATGTCTCTTACTTCTTCAATGGACGGCTGGCTGGCCTTCAGCGCGGGGCCATGAGCGAGAGGACGGACATCGACAAGCAAGGCCGCATCGTGTCCCGGATGTTTGCCGACGGGAAGGTGTGGAGCTACTCCTACCTGGACAAGGTGGGTGCTGCCGCCATGGCGTCCTTTAATTCGCGCTGCTCTTTGTAAGCTGACCTGATGCGCTCTGCTGTAAGACGTTTTAACATCTTTAGTTGACCCTGCAAGGGCTTCCCTCACGCTCCCATCCTCACTGGGAGGGAGGAAATCTGAAGGACAATGTTATTCATAGCTCAGCACCATTACCGTGAAAAGCAAAAAAAAAAAAAAAAAAGTGCTAGACACTCAGAAATGGCAAAAAGGATGGATTATCTGATTTTATTCCAAAAAAAAAAAAGTGCTGTTGAAGGGGCCAGAATCATCCCACTGGCAGCGTGGCTGGTCATTACTGTGAACTGGAAACGCAGTGATTCATTTCTGCCTTGCCCGAAATTATGCCATCAGGGTAGGGAAATTTGCCTAAAACTCTTTGAACACACAGAGCAGCACCCTCCTGCTTGGCCTGTTGGCTGCACCAGCCAACAGATTCTCTCTACGTAATTCCCTGTGTCCAAAACTGCCAGATTTAGGTCTCTGTCAGAAAAGGTCAGGTTGGAGCCGCAGTATAAAGAGATCCTGGGGCCAGCCTGGTGGCATAGTGGTTAAGTTCACATGCTCTGCTTCGCTGGGGGTTCATGGGTTCATATCGTGGGCACAGACCTATACACCAGTCATCAAGCCATGCTGTGGTGGCATCCCACATGCAAAACTGCAGGATGATTGGCAACAGATGTTAGCTCAGGGCTGATCTTCCTCACCAAAAAAAAAAAGATCCCTTTGGGGCACAAGACAAAGCTTTTGAAGACTGCCCTAGTCATCTAGCTCAGCTTGGGCCTCTCACCTCGACTCACCTTGACACAGGTCCATTTCTATTTCTTCCTTTCTTGCCTCCTCATTATAGCAGTCACTTGCAGAGCTGTTACCCCCTCTGCAAGAGACGGGCTGCTGTGCCTTTGGTCCTTCCTGAATATTGTTCTCATCATGCCATAAAATACTAGGATGGTTGACCAGGGGAGGCAAGAATCTCCCAATTGCCTCAATTGTGAGGCCATTATTTTCCCAAAGAATCAATGATTCTAGGTTATTGAATCTTTTCAGTAGCTTCTAAATGGAGGACGTGCTTTCTTTTTAGATTTAATCAAAGATGGCCAAAAGAAAGTGTGTGTGTTATACCTGTTCTCTGCTGAGCCAGTGGTAGTCATTTCTAAACAGCCTCAGGATTTCTTGTTATTGAGCCTAGAGGCTAGGTCAATGCCTCTCACCTTAGTCCTTCAAGCTTTTGCTACTCAAAGTATGGTGCAAGCAACATCAGCAGCACCTGGGAGCTTGTTACAAAAGCAGATTCTCAGGCTGCCTCCCTCACTATCCCCATGCCAAACTACTGAATCAGAATTTGCCTTTTTTTTTTTTTTTTTTTTTTGGTGAGGAAGATTGGCACTGAGCTAATGTCTGTTGCCAATCATCTTCTTTTTGTTGCTTCAGGAAGATTTTCCCTGAGCTAACATCTGTACCAATCTTCCTCTACTTTCTATGTGGGATGCCACCACAGCACAGCTTGATGAGTGGTGTGTAGGTCCACGCCCAGGATCCCAACCCTCAGGCTGCCAAAGTGGAGTGCGCAAGCTTAACCACTATGCCAGTGGGCTGGCCCCAGAATCCGCCTTTTAACAAGATCCCTGGGTACTTGACATACATATTACAATTTGGGAAGCACTGATCCAGGCAGCCACCATGATCCATCAGAGTTGGCACACCCAATGACATCAATCTACTCGTTATCTCTGGTCTAAACATCCCCATCCTTCATGGCTTTTGAATTGACATTTAGGGAAATGGAATAAATTCTGTCCATTTGAGTGCTTAGTCCTAAAGAGCTAACTCATGTGTTCCCGTCCCCTTTCCTTCCTCCAGTCCATGGTCCTCCTGCTTCAGAGTCAGCGTCAGTACATCTTTGAGTATGACTCCTCTGAGCGTCTCCATGCCGTCACCATGCCCAGCGTCGCCCGGCACAGCATGTCTACCCACACCTCCATCGGCTACATCCGCAACATTTACAACCCGCCTGAAAGCAATGCTTCGGTCATCTTTGACTACAGTGATGATGGCCGCATCCTGAAGACGTCCTTTTTGGGCACTGGGCGCCAGGTATTCTACAAGTATGGAAAACTCTCCAAGTTATCAGAGATTGTCTATGACAGTACTGCTGTCACTTTTGGTTATGACGAGACCACTGGTGTTTTAAAAATGGTCAACCTTCAAAGTGGGGGCTTCTCCTGCACCATCAGGTACCGGAAGATTGGCCCACTTGTGGACAAGCAGATCTACAGGTTCTCCGAGGAAGGTATGGTCAACGCCAGGTTTGACTACACCTATCATGACAACAGCTTCAGGATCGCAAGCATCAAGCCCGTCATAAGTGAGACTCCCCTTCCTGTTGACCTCTACCGCTATGATGAGATTTCCGGCAAGGTGGAACACTTTGGCAAGTTTGGAGTCATCTATTATGATATCAACCAGATCATCACGACCGCTGTCATGACCCTCAGCAAACACTTTGACACCCATGGGAGGATCAAGGAAGTCCAGTACGAGATGTTCCGGTCCCTCATGTACTGGATGACAGTGCAGTATGACAGCATGGGAAGGGTGATCAAGAGGGAGCTAAAACTGGGGCCCTATGCCAACACCACTAAGTACACCTATGACTATGATGGGGATGGGCAGCTCCAGAGTGTGGCTGTCAATGACCGCCCAACCTGGCGCTATAGCTATGACCTCAATGGGAACCTCCATTTGCTAAACCCAGGCAATAGTGTGCGCCTTATGCCCTTGCGCTATGACCTCCGGGATCGGATAACCAGACTCGGTGATGTGCAGTACAAAATTGACGACGATGGCTATCTGTGCCAGCGGGGTGCTGACATCTTTGAGTACAACTCCAAGGGCCTCCTAACGAGAGCCTACAACAAGGCCAGTGGGTGGAGTGTCCAGTACCGCTACGACGGTGTGGGGCGGCGGGCTTCCTACAAGACCAACCTGGGCCACCATCTGCAGTATTTCTACTCCGACCTCCACAACCCGACTCGCATCACCCATGTCTACAATCACTCCAACTCGGAGATAACCTCACTCTATTATGACCTCCAAGGTCACCTCTTTGCCATGGAGAGCAGCAGTGGGGAGGAGTACTACGTTGCCTCGGATAACACGGGGACTCCCCTGGCTGTGTTCAGCATCAACGGTCTCATGATCAAACAGTTGCAGTACACAGCCTATGGGGAGATTTATTATGACTCCAACCCTGACTTCCAGATGGTCATTGGCTTCCATGGGGGACTCTATGATCCCTTGACCAAGCTGGTCCACTTCACTCAGCGTGATTATGATGTGCTAGCAGGACGATGGACCTCTCCAGACTATACCGTGTGGAAAAATGTGGGCAAGGAGCCGGCCCCCTTTAACCTGTATATGTTCAAGAGCAACAATCCTCTCAGCAATGAGCTGGACTTGAAGAACTACGTGACAGGTGAGGACTTTGCCACCTCAGTTGGGCAGTGGCTCCCAGTGGGGTGGTTGTCCTGGTAGACTGTCGGGAACTCTGAAAAAAGGTCTTATCTCTGACGCTAGGAGAATCCTGGAGAGCTGTAAACACCGCACGGTACGGTATCTAGAACAGTCAAATGGCAGCAGCATCAGGTCTGTTTGAAGATGCCCTGACCATTTTCAAGTCCCTTCAGTTGAAATAACTTTTAAAAGAGTCCTTCCTACCCTAACAGAGGAAAGAAGCCTTATAAAGGGGGAAAGAGTGAGACTGTGGTGTCAGAAATACCTGGTGCAAGTTCTCTCTCTTCCATTTATAAGCCAGAGGACCTTGGGCTAGTTGTCCAATCTCTCTGAGCTGTAGTCCCCTTCTCTGTGAAGGGCTCTGATAAAGCCACCCCATAGAGTGACCACGAGAAGTATATGAACTTCTGTAGGCAAAGTCTAGCGCCTGGCACTTAGACAGTGCATGTTCACAAAAGGTTATCTGCTCATGTTATTAAGATGATCACTACTAGTGAAGCAATGAGTTAGCTAGGTTCTGAGATGACTAAGACCCAGTTGTTGATCTCACAACCAGGCTGGTAAGATACAAATACAAATAACCAATGATAAGGCAAAGCAGAATTAAGTCTGTGCTGCCATATAGCTGTCTGTTCAGTTATTTGTTCAACAAGCGTTTATAGAATGTTGTCATGCTGGATTCTTGGGATATAATGGTGAACAAGACAAACACCCTTCTCTCAAAGATGCGCATGTGTGTGTGTGTGTGTGTGTGTGTAGATGACTTCAGATTTGAAAATTTTTGACATAGAACAGAAAGGTCCTTGTCAAATTGGGCCTGAGCATGAAAGGGATCTTGGTTGGCAGAAATGAGCTCAAAGCTGAAGAAAAGCTATGAGCAAAAGTCAGAGGACATAGGAAGTTGTAGAGGGGATATAGATAGAGGGGTCAACAAAGGCAAATAATCTACTTCCTCATGTTAAGTGAGAAATTGGTAAAATGAGGGTCCCTGTCCATTCCATCCACATCCATCTCCATCCATCAGCCATTCACCCATTCAACAAATATTTTCACAGCATCTAACACATACTAAGTACTTAGATGCAGTAGAGAGCAAGATAAAGTCCCTGTCCTCAGAGGAAAAAAGCAAAGAAATCAGGATGGATGGATTGATAGATAGATGGATCCAAAGACATCAACCTTCAGCAAGGAAGCCACTGCCACCTCACCTGTCCAGGCATTGGAGAAGAGCAACAGTGGGGACTCCAAGTCCAAGGCCCCTCAAATTCCAGGAGACTCACAGCTCTTGGCCAGGCCTGGGAGGCATCAAGCCCAAAGGGCCCCTACCCTGAGGTAACTGGTGTCACTTGTCCATCCCCAAGATAGAGAAGGAAGCAGCAGCTATCTGGAGCACAGCACTGCCCTTGATGTCCCGTGCTACAGAAGAAATAGATGACCTTAAAGATCAACTTGCAGCGAAGCTGTGCCTCACTGACAAGTTCCAGAGCATTTGAAGTTGAACCCAGCATCCCCCTACAACTGAACCAGCTGGTACCTTTTGAGCCAGGAGCCATGGCCAAGCCCGTTCCCTCCTGTTCTTCCCCATGTACCTTATCAGGAGGCCAGGCCATGCTACTCTGCCAGGGCTTCCTCTCTTCCCCATGGCTTAGCATGACTTTTGTCCCCCAGGTCACTGCAGTTTCAAGACCTCTCAGGAAAACACACACACACACACATATGTATATAGTTCCAGGTAACAATAAGTGCTATGAAGATAAAATAGGAGAAGGGGTTAGACAGAGAGTGATGGGCAGTGTCTCCTTTATTTAGAGTGCTCGCAGAGGCCTTTCTGAGGATGTGGCATGTGAGCAAAGACCTTTATGAAGGGGGAGGGAGAGGAAGAATATTCCAGAGAGAGGAAGCAGTGTGAATGGGGAGGCAGACCATGCCTATCTTAGCCATGCGAGAAGACTCCCCTCATCCTGCAGAATGTGCTTCCCAAAGCGCCCCTTGGCACTGGATGCCTTAGAGATGAATCAGCCAGAGGCAAATACAAAGAAAGCCCTCCTCGTGGGCTGACAGACACCTAGAGCTGCCAAGGCCCAAACACAGCCATTCACAGAGCACAGTCAACTCACCCCCTCAGCTACTTTCCTGGTCCTCCTGAAAAGGGAAAGAAAAAAAAAATCAGCAGAGTTTTCTGAATAGCAAGATGGCTTTCCTCATTCCAGCGCTTCATGGAGGCTCAGTAAATGGGAATCAAATCAAGTTGAACTAAGTCCAACAAAATCGAATCCCAAAACCATTTGAAAGAGTCTAAAATAAAAGGTGGTGTTCGAGGAGCCGCGTGCATAGCACTGATGTCTGAGGTGGCAGCTGGGGAGAGGGGCGCTGGGTAGAGAAGAGAGTCAGACCAGGCACCAGTCCACACCTGCTGCCCGTTCAGGGAGGAGATGACCCCTGGAGAGTGGACCCCAGCAGAGAACACCAAATCATTCTCCGCTCTGCGAATGTTGGCTAATCTGTAAACCCATCTAAATTAGTCTTAATTTGTCACTTAGGAGACAGCAGAGTGGTTGAACTTGCCACTCACAATTTAAGCAGAAGAAGTAATTAAGATGTAGTGAGGAGGAATGCTGAGAACAGAACCTTCTCTCTCCGGTGCTCAAAAGCATCATTGCTGTTTGGAGACAGAGCTCTCTGAAAGCAGGAGGCGGCTCCTGAGGCTGGAGGAGGTTCTGTTTCCCCCAAGAAGGCTGGCACAAAGGGGAGCAGTGTAGAGTACCCGGGAGGAGCTCCAGGACGCCCGGGTTGGAACAGAGGTGTAGCTGCCCAGAGCGGGTGAAGCAGTCCAGAAGTGGCTCCTCCCGCTCTTGGGCTCCAAAGCAGCACCCTTTTTAACAGTTATTTTTTAAGGTAATATATTGATGATTGATACATCCGTGATAAAAAGTTATTAGAGGAAAGGATGTAAAAGACAGACAGGGAGACAGACTCCCTTCCAAACAGCCTTCAGCGCTCCAGTCTTCTCTGCTTTTAGCAACGCAGGAAACTCCTCGGTCCTGGACAGACCAGGACCTTTGCCAGCCCCGAGCCTGGCCTGTCCTCAGTCCGGTTCCTTATGATGTTAGCACCTGAGTACATCTCAAGACACCAGTCCTGGGCTTGCCAATCACTTGCTGTGTAACTTCGACGAATGTCTTAATCTTTCTGAGCCTTAGTCTCTTCATCAGCAAAATGGTGATAATAGGGGCCGGCCCAGTGGCGCAGCGGTTAAGTTCGCACGTTCCGCTGCTCGGCGGCCCGGGGTTCGCTGGTTCGGATCCCGGGTTCGGACATGGCACTGCTTGGCAGCCATGCTGTGGTAGGCGTCCCACGTATAAAACTAGAGGAAGATGGGCACGGATGTTAGCTCAGAGCCAGGCTTCCTCAGCAAAAAGAGGAGGACTGGCAGTAGTTAGCTGACGGCTAATCTTCCTCCAAAAAAAAAAAACAAACAAAAAATGGTGATAATAATAGCGCTTACCCCATGAGGTTGTAAAAAGTAGATGAATCGTGAGGTGTAAAGCGCCTTGAACAGCTCGAAGGCTAATAAATGGCAGGAACGTGTGTGTTATTTATAAGCAGCTATGGACTTGGAGACAGGAGTTTGCAGATGAAGAATGGAGACGTCATCGTTACGTAATTTTCTGGGGAATGTGGGGTGGGGTCTCCAGATCTGCCCTGAAACAGGTCCACACTCTGCTCTGAGTGGCATTGCTGGGGCAAACCGGAAACCCCAGACGCATTTTGAGTCAAGCGAACCTCCTAGATGTCGCCCACAAGGACTCCTTTTTTCTCCCCACCCCTTCTCCCTGGTGGTTTTGGGGTCACAAATCCCAGGCATACGTGAGCACATAGTCAGATTTTGTGGAGTTTAATTTCCCCAAGTGAGGAGGAAGGCACAGCCTCCTTCTCACATTACCCTCTTCTCATGTCTACACTTAACACCTAAGATGCTGTGCTGACAGCGTTTTCAGAGAGAGCGCTTCGGTGGCGGTAGCAACATAATCACAGGCCGCGAGGAACAGGAGTGAGGAGTAATGAGCTATTAGGAGGGGCCACCTCGCCAGCTCCTGCCTCAGAGGCTCGCTCTCACAGATGGTTTAGGGAACCTGTCGAATAAACATTTCAGAATAGGTTTAAACTCAGAAACCAAGCCATGTTAGAAACTTTAAAAAAAAAAATGGTGGTGGGGGGGTGGGGAGATGAGATGAGCTATTACAGTTCATGGGAGCAGCCATTAAAATTTCTGGTCTCAGAAGCAGGGATGTTCTTAACATCCACCCCGCCCCTCCCCGACCCCCCACTCCGGGTCTTAGGGAGGGATCCCTGCAGGGAAAAGATCAGGATGGGGAGAGTCTTCTGAGGGCAAAGCCCTCTCTTGCCTTTCTTGGGGTCCCCTCCATATCGTGTGTACCCCTGGTGGCAGACGGGATGGCTTTACATGGTGTGCAGATGGGGTGTTAAATAAAGGAAACACAGGTGGAGAAAGTCTCTCTTCAGAGCTCTTTATAGTAAATCTAGGAGAAAGTCCCCACTGGATGCTGGTATGTATTTAACACCTCATTGACACTTCTAATCTCCCTATTTTAGGGAGAAAGCAGGTCTAAGACTCCCTCAGTAGCAGGGAATAAAATCATGCTCTAATTTAATTGCATTGCTTTTTTTTCTTTGTTTGAATTTTACTGTTATTTTCTGCCTGCATCCAATGAGTCCACTTTCCCATTTACGGTAGTGCCAGAAGTTTCTTCTTTAAAACGGATTTACTGAAGTGGGAAAGGCAAATTTAGTTTTTAAAAATCAGGAAGTAAATACTAATACAGGTGATACCTGGATATGGCAAAACCATCGTGACGAGTGACCATGAATATCCAAAGTTGGGAAACCCACACTCTACAGCCCCTAGCACCCTTTTGGCACAAAACAGGTGCTCCGTAAATATGTGATTGTTGCTGAACTAAAGCTTGGCCTCTCTCTGCTTGATGCTGACACACTTTTTAAGGCAATTTCAAGCCTGTATTCTTAAAAGACTCTTAAATGGGCTATCACTAATATGTGTAGTTGGCGCAGGTTCAAGGAACCAGTCTGTGCCCAAGGCCAGTGGCTGCACCATGGACCCCAGACTCCCTCTCATTAGAGGTTTCTTCTATGCCTGTATGTTTAGTAGCAAAGTCAACATTAAATCCCTCACGACAGGCCCAGGGCAGAGGGACCTACCTTCCTTAGCCCCTTCTGAAGTGTGTTCTCAGGCAGGGGCAGACAGCTCCTCTGTCACACTTACACTGCTCAGGGTAGCTTTTGCCACATGTGTTCGGTGTTCGTTCACTCACTCATTCATTCCATGGATACTTATTGAGCACCTGTTTTGTGCCAGGCATTCTTGTAGGGCTTGGGGGAACATCAGTGAATAAAACTGAATTTTAAACTCCCTGCCTGGTGGAACTTACATTCTGTGTGAAGGAGACAGACCATAAACAATAAATATAATGAATGCACAAAAGATACAGCATGTTAGAACGTGATTACTGGGGAGTTTTTTGAGGGGGCGGGGTTAACAGAGTAAGGGGACTTGGGATTGGGGCTGGAAATGGGGTATGGGTAATGGTTGGGGTTGGCTGTATTTCAGAGACAACAATTGAGCAAGATTTGAAAGAGGTAAGAGAGTGAGAGAGCCAGAAAATACTTTTAGGGAAGCATACTCTGGGCAGAGAGGTTACTGAGATGAGTGTGTACCTGGAATATTCGAGAAATAGCACAGAGGCTGGAGCTGAGTGAGCAAGGGAGAGAGTGGAGAAATGAGGTCAGAGAGAGAACATGTGAGGGTCCTTACAGACCATCAGAAGGACTTTGGCTTTTCATTGAGAGAAACGGGGCATCCCTGGAGCATTCTGAGTGGAGGAATGACATGGCCTGCTCCCTGTTTACAGGCTTGTTCTGGCTGCTGTGCTGATAAGGTATGTGGGGTAGGGAGGTGGAAGCAGGGAGGCAGCTAAAAGTCCAGGTGAGAGATGATAGGCCAGGGTTGAGGTGGCAGAAGTGGCGAGAAGTAGATGCAGATTCTGGATCTATTTTAAAAGTAAAAGTAAAGAATTTAACCATATGACCCAGCAATTCCACACCTACATATATATGCAAGAGAATCGAAAACAGGTTTTCAAACAAAAATTTTTACGTGAATGTTCATAGCATAATTATTTGTAATAGTAAAAAGAAAAGCGTAGACAACCTAAATCCCATTAACTGAGGAACGGATAAACAAAATGCAGTATATTCAGACAATGGAAGATTTTTCAGCCATAAAAAGGAATGAAGTACTGATACGTGCTACAACATGGAGTAACCTTGAAAGCTTGCTAAGTAAAAAAAGCCAGACACAAAAGGCCGCATATTGTAAGATTCCATTTATATGAAATGTCCAGAATAGGCAAATCCATAGAGACAGAAAGGAGATTAGTGGTTGTCAGGGGCTGCGAGGAGAGGATACTGCAGAGTGACTGCTAATGCATGTGACCTTTCTTTTGGTGGTGATGAAAGTGTTCTGGAATTAGATAGTGATGGTGGTTGCACAACATTGTGAATGTACTGGAAGCCGCTGAATTGTGCACTTTAAAATGGTTGAAATGATAAATTTTATGTTATGTGAATTTCACCTCAATTAAAAAAAAGGTAAGGATTTATCAATGTATTAAATGTGGGGAGGGAGAAAAAGGAGGAGGTCAGGGATGGTAGCTGGAAGGATGGAGTTGCCGTTACCTGGAATGGATAAGACTGAGTGAGGCAGGTTTGGTAATGAAATCTGTTGTTCAGTTTTGGATGTCAGTTGGAAATGTAATGAAATATACACGTTTGGCATTCAGGGAGAAGTCCAGGATGGAGATAGAAATTTTGGAGTCAGCATCAGCATATAGATGGTATTTAGGGCCCTAAGGCTGGATAAGATCACCATGTTTGCAAGAGTAGATTAGATAGAGTGGAGAAGAAGCTCAGACTGAGTCCAGGGAGTCCCATCATTAAGAGATCAGGGAAATGAGGAGGAATGAAAAAAGGACAAGGAGTGGCTACTAAAGGAGGAGAAGGGCAGACAAGCGAATGTATTGTCCAGAAGCCAAAAAAATAGAAAGGCAGGAGCGTTCAGCTTGTCAAATGCTTCTGATCGGTCAAATAAGATGAGGAATATGATCAACATCGGACTTAGCACCATGGGAATCATTCGTAACTTTGACAAGAGTGGTTTCGGTGGAGTAGTTGGAGGCAAAGCCTGATTGGAAAGAGGTGAATGGGAGACAATGAGTATAGAGAATTATTTTGAGTTTGAGAAGTTTTTGTAAAGGAGGGTGAGAAATAGGTAGGGGCTAAAGGAAGAAGTAAGGATAAGAGAGGAATTTTTTTAAGGTGGACATTTAGTAGCATGTTTTTATCCAGTAGAAGAAGGAATAAATTGATGACATGGGGGAGAGAGAGGGAGTTGCTGGAGTGATGTCCTTGAGTGAGCAAGAAAGGATGTGACCTAGTGCTCACGTGGAGGGTGACTTAGTTCATCCAGAGTAATAGGAGGAAGGCAGGGAATATGGGTACAGAGGCTGGGAAGCCAGTAAATGTGTTTAGGGAAATGCCCCTCTGGCTGTATCAGTTTTCTCGGCAGAGTAGGAAACAAGGTCAGCTGCTGGAGTGAGGAAGGAAAGCAGGTGCTGGAGGTTTTAGGAGAGAGAAGATGTAAAATCCCTCAGGAGAATGGGAGGATGGCTGCATGAAAGGGGGAATGTAGTCAGATTGTCAGGCAGCAGGAAGCCATAATTGGGGCTCACGGTTAGGAGTTCAAAGTGATACCAGTCAGCAAGGTAACATTCGTTTCTCCAGCCACATTCAGCTGCACAGGTACAAACACAGAATAGGTGAAGATTTGGATTTAACCAGAACTGGGGTTTCACCAAGCTAGTGTGATGAAGTGAGAAAGGGGCAAAGGATCTGAGAATATACACAAGGGAATGAATCTAATGATTGGCCATGGAATGTGGGCTAAGTAAGAAAAGAATAGAGACCAAGATGTTGAGGGATGGGGGGCGGGGGTAGTTTAGGATGGATCGAAGATCCTAGGGAGGGGAGAGGATCAGGGAGTATGGGTGTCAGGTTACAAAAAGGAGCAAACTAGAAAGAGTCCAGGTGGTGGTCAGATGGTGACATGCATGAAACTGAGATAATGGGGGGGTCAGAATTATAGGCGATGACAAGGTCCAGAGAATGAGCATGAGAGTGAGTAGGGTAAGGATCATCAAAGGAACTAAGAGGCCAGGATCTTGGAAGAGTCAATGAAATCACTTAGAATGAGTTCAGGAACAAAGATGGAGAGAATGACAGTGGAGCAGAAAAGCCTCAAGAAATGCAGGCGAGTGGCCCAGGGTCAGCAATGACTGCAACAAGCGCTTGCCCCTCCAGATCCTTCAATTTTAGGAGAAGAAGCAGGGAGGCCAGAGTCTTCAGAGGAAAGGGGGTTTCAGTTAGAGCCATTGAGAGGAGGCTGACAACATGGGGGGCTTTGCTGATGATGAATGAGAATTCCAGAGGGCCTGATGGAAGTGTTTTGGAAGGTGGGGAGAAGTGGAAAAGGGAGGTAACACGTGATATTGGGGTGCCTGTTACAAACAGAGATAAGGAGCATAAAGGTGTGAGTCCTGCTGGACTCTAGGCCAGCAGTGTGGGTGAGGCTGTGTTGCAAGGGATGAATGTCCAGGACTCTCTGTTGCTCAGTGTGGAAGGAGGCAAGGTGTCTGGGGGATACAGTCTTAGTCCAAGAGCCTGGACCATTCAGTGGAGAGTAGGACCTTTGGGGCAGGAGATATAATTCCCATTGTGAGGCATTCAATCTTGACCCCGGGCGAGGGAGGGGCAGTCTTACTCTGAAGATGCATAGCTCTCTCTTGGCCTTTCTTTGAAGAGTAGGCACCTGAGAAATGTGTCTCAGGAGCTAGAAGACTCCGCATTCCATACACTCTTGGAACCCCCTTTCCATAATGAGCCAGCCTCAGTGCAGCACCCCACCCCCAAGATGTCCTGCACAGTGTTAATAATCATCACTTATCCATCTAGTTGGTCATTGTATCTCTGGCTTCTAACACATTGACTGGCCTACACTAGATGCTCCCTTAAACACTTGCCAAATAAAGGAGTTCATATTTATTGAGCAATCCATGCACCAGGCACTGTAACGAGCACTTTGCATGGATTTTCTCCTTCGATCCTTACAACAACCCAATAAGATTGGTACAGTTATTGTCCCAATTCACATCTGAGGAACCTGAAGCTTCGAGAGGGGCAGGAACTTGCCCACGGTCACACAGTGAGGGGATTTGAAGCTAGGTCTGCCTTACTCCAGCACTGGCCTTCTAAGACACCACGTGCGGGTTAGTTGGAAGGACACCTACTTCCTAGAAACCACGTAAAGAAGCTCTGGGTCTGGAGCAGGAGACTTTCACAAGCTCTTGCCTTCTGCTCCTGTTGGACCGCACACCCAACCACCCATTTTATTTTATTCTTTCTCCAAGATCCTCTGTTGCTTTCCGTCCCTCATGATTTCAGAAATCTTTATTTTTGTTTCCACCATAGATGTGAAAAGCTGGCTTGTGATGTTTGGATTTCAGCTTAGCAACATAATTCCTGGCTTCCCGAGAGCCAAAATGTATTTCGTGCCTCCTCCCTATGAATTGTCAGAGAGTCAAGCAAGTGAGAATGGACAGGTAAGCGGAGGTTCCTGCCAAGAATCCGAATGATTGTCATCATTCCCTTTTGCAAACAGAACCACCTGGGAGCTAAGGGCATGTCAGTAGAAGAGAAAACACTGGAGCTGGGTATAAAAGGTGCATGAAACGTTGTGACTTCCCAGGAAAGCAAATGTCAGTGCTGTCACTTGTCTGGCGCAGCACGTCTTTCTTCCCAACCTCAATTATTACCTTAATTGTAATATCATTATCTGTTCACTATATACCCTTGAGTCACTCCTTGATTAACAGCAGCACAGAGAAATCTAGCAGCAACTTACCATCTGCACTGCCTATAAGATCATAACCCTTTTGGCTTTTATGGGATGTAATAAAACCATGGTTTGCAGTTTCTGTCCCATTAAAGAACGTTTTTATGCCCCACATAAAACCTCAGCGTTTTATGGCCCAAATGTATACAGATTGAGTTTTCAGAACGTCATATGTGCTTGGGTCTTTCAGTGATGACGGAAGGGTGGTCAGTTTCAATTTGAGTGCAGCTGAGACTTCTGCCTCCGTCAGATGGGAGGAATGGGTACCAGTGTCCAGAGAAACCCTGCTACAGAACCGGTTCTCAGCACTATAAAAATCTGAAAGGTCTCAGCTGCTCTGAATAATGGTCCAGACTCTATAACTAGAGAGAGGCAAGGAGGAGCTGCTGGGTAATTGAGAGCAGCATTTGCTCAGTCCTGCCCCTTGGGGGCCACTCAGTGGATGAATAGCCATCATTTCTCTCATTTATCTAAGTGCCGTTACCTCCCAAACACAGCCTCTTCCATTATCCCAGCCTGTCCCCCAACCACCAATTGAGACAAGTTGTAATTTGTGAGTGGAGAACTCAAGGCCAAGGAGATAATGGTGATTTCGTCCCTCCGCAGAACCAGGGCTAGGATCCAAAGCAAATGACTCAAAGCCCAGGGATATTCCCTCTGGCTCATGAAGCCAGAATCTCTTAGCCTGGTGCTTCTCAAACATGAATATGCACACAAACCACCTGGGGTATCTTGTGAAGGTGCAGCTTCTGACTCTGCAGGTCTGGAGTGAGGTCTGAGATTCTGCTTCTCTAACAGGGTAGGTCCCAGTGATTCCTCTGCTGCTAGCCATACTTTGAAAAACAAGGTCTTAACCCAAGGAAGTTAATGAACATCCAGGGCACTGACCTCCAGGAAATCTAGGTCACAGTAGCGGAGTTCACAGCTGCTCAAACACACACCCTGCCCTTCAGGTCAGGATATCCCTGGGTCTGAACCGTGTGAGGCAGCTGCCAAGCCATCAGAGTGCAGAGTGGCCCTCTCTTCTCCAATAATGGAGGGACATGGTAAGTGGATAGGCCTGGGTGCAGATGCCAGCGAGGCAGCAAACCCCCATCATCATCTTTTTAGTTAGTGGCCCAGTTACAAGGCACACAGGCCATACCATCAGAGCACTGGAGACCAGCCAGCCTGTCGTAGTTCCAAAAGGTAGGACTATATTAGCCCATATCATTGCAGACCCAGACTAGTTCTTCTAGAGGGGTCCAAGCATTTCTATTTCTGACTCTTTTGTAATGAGCTTCCCAGCCCACCTTCTCAGTTCTCTGTGTTTTCTTATGCCCACAGCTCATTACAGGTGTCCAGCAGACAACAGAAAGGCACAATCAGGCCTTCATGGCCCTTGAAGGGCAGGTCATTTCTAAAAAGCTCCACGCCACCATCCGAGAGAAAGCAGGCCACTGGTTTGCCACCACCACACCCATCATCGGCAAAGGCATCATGTTTGCCATCAAAGAAGGGCGGGTGACCACCGGTGTGTCCAGCATCGCCAGCGAGGACAGTCGCAAGGTAGCTTCCGTGCTGAACAATGCCTACTACCTGGACAAGATGCACTACAGCATCGAGGGCAAGGACACCCACTACTTTGTGAAGATCGGCTCGGCCGACAGTGACCTGGTCACGCTGGGCACCACCATCGGCCGCAAGGTGCTGGAGAACGGGGTGAACGTGACCGTGTCGCAGCCCACACTGCTGGTCAACGGCAGGACTCGAAGGTTCACCAACATTGAATTCCAGTACTCCACACTGCTGCTCAGCATCCGCTACGGCCTCACTCCCGATACCCTGGATGAAGAGAAGGCCCGTGTCCTGGACCAGGCGAGACAGAGGGCCCTGGGCACCGCCTGGGCCAAGGAGCAGCAGAAAGCCAGGGACGGGAGAGAGGGGAGCCGCCTGTGGACTGAGGGCGAGAAGCAGCAGCTCCTGAGCACGGGACGTGTGCAAGGTTATGAGGGATATTACGTGCTTCCTGTAGAGCAATACCCAGAGCTTGCAGACAGTAGCAGCAACATCCAGTTTTTAAGACAGAATGAGATGGGAAAGAGGTAACAAAATAATCTGCTGCCATTCCTTGTCTGGATGGCTCAGCGGGACTAACTGTTATCTCCTCTCCTAAGGAGATGAAGACGTAACAGGGGCACTACGGCCGGGCTGCTTTAGGATACCAAGTGGCAAGAAAGCTCACATTTTTTGAGTTCAAATGCTACTGTCCGAGCAAGAAGTCCCACATCCTGAAGTAGACTCAAGCCTGGCTGAAAATTCTGAGGAAAACGAAACAAACGAATGAATGAATGAACACACCACATGTTCTAAGTTCCCCTAAAATATGACCCACTTGTTCTGGGTCTACGCAGAAAAGAGACGCAAAATGTCCAAAAGGAGCAAAAGAACAAAAAAACAAAAAAACGAAAAAGCAAAACAAACACACCGACGGAAAAACGAAGAAATGAAGAGGAGAGGGCCTCATCTTCAATTACCTCACTCATTCACACGTGAGCGGCGCAGAGACATCGCGGGGGCGCGCATCACCGGACCAGCCGGGGAGAGCGATTCCGACCGCTTGTTGGACAAATAAGTATACAGACATTTTCGTTTAAACAAATACAGGTGCATTTAAAACACGACTTTGGGGGTGATTTGTGTGTAGCGACTGGGGAGGGAGGGGTTACAAGTGGAAGAGTGAGCACTGGAAATACTTTTTAAAGGAAAAAAAACAAAAACACAAGAAAAAAAAGGAAATTAATATCATCAAAAATCAAAGCGAAATAATACCGTTCAGCACTTAACTCTCAGGTCCCAACTTAGTCCGGCCTGAGCTAATTTATTTGAGCGCAGAGTGTAAAATTTAATTCAAAATGGTGGCTATAATCACTACAGATAAATTTCATACTTTTTTGTCTTTGGAGATTCCATTGTGGACAGTACTACGCAGTCACAGGGTGTAGTCTGTTTAGATTCCGTAGTTTGTGGGTATCAGTTGCAGTAGAGGTGTGACATTGTGGCACTCTTTTGCTAACGGGCACCACTTCAGATCACCCTGTACATACATAAGCCTCAAGGCACAATCACTGTTTCAGATTTAAAATTATTAGTGTGTTTGTTTGGTCCAGAAACTGAGACAATCACATGACAGTCACCACGAGGAGAGAAAATAAAAAATTTAAAAAAAAAATCCACAAAAACAAAAAAAAAATCAAAAAACAAAAAAAAAATGTCTAATAAGAACTTTGGTACAGGAACTTTTTTGTAATATACATGTATGAATTGTTCATCGAGTTTTTATATTAATTTTAATTTGCTGCTAAGCAAAGACTAGGGACAGGCAAAGATAATTTATGGCAAAGTGTTTAAATTGTTTATACATAAATAAAGTCTCTAAAACTCCTGTGGACACTGGCCTTCTGTGGAAATACTTTGAGGGGAGGAAAAGGAGAGACTTGTGGGAGAAAATGGGAGTTGCCAACATGCACAGGCTGGCCTGACATTTTGAATTTGGGGAGGAGCTTTGTCAGAGGTATCTCAATGCTCTCCAAACAAACAGCTCTGAATTCTAGAGTGATCTCTGCCCACATCTGCAGCTGCTTCTCTGCATGCAGCAGAGGTGCAGAGGAGCGCCTGGGCCTGGGGGCGGTGAGGACCCTCAGGCCCACCCGTGCAGGGATGGGTTCCTCCAGCCCTCCTGGCATAGTCAGGCCTTCTTTCTGCTGCCACGTTCTCGTTCTGGGAGGTGCTGGCAGGAAATTGAGGGCAAACACTCTCTCCATGTTGGGAGACGTGTATGTGTTTGTGTGGCTCTGTGTGTATGTGTATGTGTACGTGTATGTGTGTGTATTTTCTTCCAGACTAGATCGGTTTACCCCAAAACTTGCATACTTGGGGCAACAAGAAGAGCACTTATGGTTTGGATGCATCTTTTTCCCACCAATCTTACAGTAGAATAATAAGATCATTAATAGCTAATATTTATGATGCATACTACATGGCAAGAACAGTGCTAAGTGCTCTGCATACTGTATTTTCATTTAATCCTCACCTTTCATTCATTCCACAACATTATATTGAGAGTTTGCCATGCGTCAGTTCTAGGGATAAAGAAGGGAACGCAAACATGGGCCCTTGCCTCATGAAAGCAATACAGAGGTCAGGGATGCAGACAATAGTCAGATAATTACCCTACGAAATGAAAATGACAGGGCTGTTAAGTGCCAAGAAGGATAGATTTATAAAGCTATGGAGGCACATAATTGGGGATGTGACCTAGACTAAGAATGTCACAGTAGCTGCCGAGGCCAGAAAGTTGAGCAGAAGCTAACCAGGTAAAGACAAGGAAATGCATTCCAGACCCAGGGAACAGTATATGCAAAGGGAGTGTGAGTCTGTTAGGCAAAGTTCAGAAGACGTAGAGATTAAAGACTTTTTTTTTATTTTGAAAACAAGAGGGAGTCACTAGTTTTAATTTCATAAACAAGTGCCCTGGATGCAGCGTGGAGAACAAGTAGCGGGATCTGATGTGGTCGTCTGTGTGCAAGGAAGAGGCTGGTGGCCACTGAGATGAAGGTACTTTGGACTATAGAGGAAGAAATGGAAGTAAATTGAGTGGATAGATTGCAAGAAGGAGGTCCTAGCATCATTTGCTTCGCAGGTGAGGAAACTGAGGCCAATTATCACCCAGCTGGTGAGTAGTGAAATCAGATTCAAGCCCAGCTGTGGCTGATTTCAAAACCTCTCCAGGAAGTCTGGGTGGCATGTCACCCTGAGACCTTCTGAGTGCCCTGCATTGCTGCTGCCTTCCCAGTCATCTAGCCAGGCCACTTGTGGTTTCCCCAGATGGAAGGAAAAAGAGAGAGAGGCACGACTAGCCTACTCTACGCCAGGTATCGGGCCTCATGAGCCTGTTAACATTACAGGCAGAGAAAGCTACAATTTAGTAAAGCAATCAGTCACAGAGACCATCCTTCTCAGAAGCGCTTGTGAATACCCTTGTTCCCCCAAGTTCTGTGAGTTTGGGCTGTTTCCCTTCAAGAGGAGAACAGGAGACAAGAGACAGCTCTTCCTGTGCGCCTCGGCCCAGCTGCCACCCGCCTTGTTTAATCTGACTGCTGTCAGGACCACTTGGATATGCACGCACAGAAGAGCCTCCAGCTGGTCATGAGGTCGGCTTGAATCCTGGTTTGGTGGGCACTACAAGGGGATTAACCACTGTGTTGTGTCTCCCTGGGGTAGATGCAGCCAGTGGGGCCAACCAAGAGCCGGAGTTGATCTCAGACAAGAAGCCAGTGGGGGCTCACTCAGCCCAGAGTATCTCTGCCCCATCCAGCCTCTTAGGTGGCAGGTGAGCACATAGTATGGCACACAGAGAACTGCATGTCACCAGAATTTCATTAGAACCTGAAACTCTCTTTGAGGCCAACTATCTTTGAATTATCCATGAGTTGTCTGTTACACCCAGGCCAGCTCAGCCCCTCACAATACACATGCATACCCATACACACACACGCAAACCCATAACGTGGGAATAGACAGCCTTGGGTAAAAAAAATCCTCTCCTGCCTTTCCTCAAGCCAGTCCTAGGATGAACAAGACTAAATGTTTGACCTCTTCCAGAAGTATTTGCACATTGATATAGAATTCTAGAAAGGCAGTACAGGAGACAAGGTTGTGCACTCTGAAGTCAGCCTACCTGGGAACAAACCCTAACTCAACCACTCACTAAATGTGGGAAGTTGAGATGGTTCCATGTATTAATTAGGGTGAATAACATTAGCTATTTAAGAGATAAACCCAACATAAGTTAACACAAAAAAAGGTTGCATTCTCACTCATACAGTAGTCCATTGTGGATCAGGGATGGGAATGGCTCTGCTCCATGCAGTCACTCAGGGCCCCAAGCTGCTTCCATCTTGTGGCTTGGCTGCCTTCTTGGTCCTCAGAATCTTTTTTTTTCTGGTGAGGAAGATTGGCCTTGAGCTAACACCTGTTGCTAATCGTCCTCTTTTAGCTTGTGGAAAAGGGGCCCTGAGCTAAACATCTGTGCCCATCTTTCTCTATTTTGTATGTGGGATGGCTGCCACAGGATGACTTGATGAGCGATGTGGGTCCACACCCAGGATCCAAACTGCGGGTCGCTGAGGCTGAGTGTGCTGAACTCAACCACTGTGTCACTGGGCCAGCCCCCTAGGTCCTCAGAATCTTTGAAGTCCTCTCCGTTCAGTTGGTTGATGGAGAAAGAGCTCCAAGATCACATGTGTAACTATTTTATTTTTAATGAGCCACACCTGGAAATGATACATACCACCGCCACTCATATTCCCTGGGGGCTTCCATGGGCCCTACCGCAAGAGACCAGAAAATGTAGTCTGACTATAACTCTAGGAAGAGGAGGAGACTGGATACTGGCGAGCCCAAGCAGCCTCTGCCACGTAACTCATCGTCTATGAGCCTCAGTTCCTCCCCTGGAAATAGGACTGATAAGAACAAGGGTGCTATGATGATTAAGATATTGCATGTGTCATTGACACACGGGACTCAATAAATGTTAGTTTTTATTATTTTTAAATCTTTGCTCCAAGCACAGGTTTTCTAAGTGGAAACTGAGGCATGACCACCCATTATGTCATGGGGGAGAGATTTTTATGCAGGGGTTGGGGAGGATGGAGGCAGCCCTCCCTTCTCCCAGGCCCAGAGAATGTGAAAAGTTCTACCTGTATGAGACCACATCTCATAACCTCAAGGGCTTTTCAGAAAGGGTGTCATGTAGAGGGCTGGAGGGTCTCAGCAACGTGAAGATTGGCTAGGAGAGCAGGCGACTCATTCAGTCATTCGTCACCAAGCACAATCTTGTCCCTGGCACTGTCAGAAGCTGGGAATACAGAGATAAATAAAACGTGGTCAAAAATCTCACAGTCTAAAGTGTCGGGACAAACTCACAAGCCAATCAATGGGACACAGTGGGCTCAAAGCTGGCACAGAAGTGATGCACAAAAATGAAGCCCAGAGGAGAGGACCACGAGTTCTCCTCATGGTCATTTGAGCTGGGTGCTCACAGGTAATAGATGCCCAATAGAAAACGCGGGGAGGGAGGTCAGGACCAAGAGGAGAGCATGTGCTACAAGAGGGAGAATAAATATGCAGGCCAACTGGGAAGCAGCTCAGACAGGCTGGAGCAATGGCCATGCTTTAGGACCCTGGCTAGGTGTTAGAATTACCTGGGGGAGATTTCTAAACACACCCACAACCTCCAGGTCCCAGGCCAATGAAATCAGACTCTCTGAGAGCATGGTCTGGCGTGGGTAGGTTTCAAAGCTCCCAGGTGATTTGAATGTGCAGCCAGGACTGAGAAGCCCTGGGTTGGAGCTGAACAGGAGGCACACAGCATGACATGAGCCTGTCGGAGAGGATGAGGCAGAAATGAAAGCCAGGCCAAGAAGCTGGACATTCTCCTGCAGGCCACCAGGAGCCCAGTGGTGTTCTTGTAACTGAGGAGAATATGATTAGGAAATCCTTTGATTAGCAAAGTTGCTAAAAGAACTGAGGCTGGGAGACTGCAACAGCCCCAACCTAGCACCCCAGATGAGGATCTGAACTGAGGTGGAGCCGCAAAGACAAAGGAAGAGCTCGTCACACAGGATTAGATTTAGGAAGTGAGGACGAGGTTCTATAACTCCCTCAGAGTCAGGGACAGTGTCTATACAGGGTGGAACACTGAGGGCAGGATCCAGCCCCAGCAGCCCTGGGGGCCTCTCTCCAGGGAAAGCCTCATATGCACCAACATGGCTCCTCCCCAGCCCCACCCAGGTGAAAGGACACCCTCCCCTGGAGAAGGGTTTAAGGAGAAGTCTAACCCAGGCTTACCTTCAGGGATCCTCTGATGGGCCCACGTTGGGATTTTGCAGGAGAGTTCTGATCCACCACACCTGCACCCAAGCCCCACCTCCCATCCAGAGGCAGGCAGGCAGCCTGAACCCTCCCTCCGACAGGGAGGTGGCACTCTGCCTGTGAGGCAGCCCTCCTAGAGCAAAGCTGCACCAGCTGGTGTCTCTTCCCTGCTGTCTTCGCCTGTTCCCAAAGCCCCAGGTTCCCCGCCTTTGCTTTCTCCTGGTGAATGGTGGGCTTGCAGTTTGGCCACAAGATGGCAGCCTTTCCTATAAAATCTTCCCAGAGTTGGGCCTAGTGGCCCAGGCGGGTTCAAGGAAGGTATTAGGTGGCTGGAGACGGAGAAGCAAGCGCCTGCCTGGGAGAGTCCTGGGCCCTGAAAGAGGCCCCTGGGACTGGTTCCAGGAAACCAGATTCCAAACAGATCCACCCTGGGAACAGCCAGACTGGATTCGGAGCCCAGCTCCACCATTTGCTCCCCGGGTACATTTCCACACCTCTTCACCTTTCACTTTTCTC